AATAGGGTTTATGTTCCTCGAGTAGACAATTTGAGGCGTGAACTCTTAAAAGAGTGTCACGATTCCCTGTGGGCTGGACACCTAGGCATTCACAGAACGTTGGCTCTCGTGGAGAGGGTCTTCTACTAGCCGAAGATGGGGATTGATGTGGAGGAATATGTTCGAACATGCCTTACTTGCCAACAAGACAAGGTGGAGCAGCGGAAGCCGGTGGGACTTTTGGAGCCGTTGCCCGTACCAGAAAGGTCGTGGGAGAGCATTTCCTTGGACTTTATATCAAGCTTGCCATTTGTAGAGAGACTCGGATCGATACTCGTGGTGGTCGATCGGTTTTCAAAGTATGCAACTTTCATTGTTGCTCCCCTACACTGTTCAGCAGAAGAGGCGGCCAAGCTGATGATGAAGGATGTGGTGAAGTATTGGGGAGTCCCGCACAATATCATTAGTGATCGAGACGCTCGGTTCCTGGGACGATTCTAGACCGAGCTATTCAAATTGTTGAGGTCAAAGTTATACTTCTCTACAAGCCTCCACCCCCAGACGGATGGCCAGACTGAAAGGATAAACTCGCTCCTGGAGCAATATCTTTGGCACTACGTGAGTGCCAACCAACGAGATTAGGTGAAGCTGTTGGACATTGCCCAATTATCCTACAACTTGTAGCGGAGCTCTGCATCCAACAAGAGCCCTTTCAAGATCATTACAGGACAACAATCGTCGACTCCTCACACCATGGCAATTGGGTATACTGGGAGTAGTCCGTCAGCCTACCACTTCGCAAAGGAGTGGCACCGAAATACAGATATTGCGCAGGCTTACTTGGAGAAGGCGACAAAAAGGATAAAGAAGTGAGCAGACTTGGGAAGGCGACCGTAAGAGTTCAAAGTTGGCGATTTGGTGTTGGTAAAGCTCCAACCAGCATCACTCTAATTCTTTAGGAACAAAGTCCACAAAGGATTGATGCGCAAGTATGAAGGGCTCTTCCCAATTATCAGCAGGGTAGGCAACGTCTCTTACAAGTTACAACTGCCGGCGTGGTTCAAAATTCACAATGTTTTTCACGCCAGCAACCTAAAAGCCTACCACTCGGATCCGCAAGATGCTTCCTGAAGTGTTCCAACTCGGTTACCTCCCATCACAGCCTCCTACGAGAAGCGAGTTGAAACCATTCTGGCAGACCGCAAGATAAAGCTACCCAATGGAGCTGAGCAAACAGAATACTTGGTGAAGTGGAGAAAGCTTCCCCGAACTGAAGCCAGTTGGGAGCCTGAAGACGCCCTACGACATGAAGAAGCAATCATCAACAACTACCAACAATCTCGCTGAATTGCTTGTAAAGCTTCCCCTCTTTTCGCGAGATGTCGGGACTTGTCCGTCGCTCGTTCTTTCGAACTAATCAACTTTCTCTTTTACAGGTCCTTCGGGACCTGCGAGAGGTTGCAAGTGGGCTGATCTTTGCGGAGCAATATCGCAAGGGCGAAGCGCGACTTAGGCAACGCAAGCTAAGTTCGCGTCTTGGCCACAAGGGTGCCTCACGCCTTAGGCAATTCCAGCTAAGTGACAGTTTGGTCGTGAAAGGGGCCGAGGAGGTGGAGCATGCAGAGACAAACTCCAAGTACCGAGACAAGGCTGAAGGACAGAGGCTAAGGAACTTCGTAAGATCGGTGTCAACGAGCTTGTCATCAAGATAGCTGAAAGTGAAGGACTTCGGGTTATGCAAGAGTGCACGCCCAAGGAACGAAGCAAGCAGTATGCGGTGTTGTACCTTTGCTACTCAGTGGAGTAGGCGGCCGGGTTGATGGAGGAGACGGTACAATTCCAGAGGCGACCAAAATTATTAGAGACTTACTCCAAGTTGGGGTGAAAACTTTCTGCATTCCAGAAGTTCAATGGCATTGAGAAGGTGAATCACAGTAGCTAACTCAATGCAAGGAGTGCAAACACTTCAAGTGCTTCAAAAGTGTGAGCAAAGAGCAGGCGAAAGCCAGTAACCAGCTCGATGCATTGAGTACAACCCTTGAGGAGGCGGGCGAAGTCAAGTAACCATTGCCTTCTCAACCCTTAAGAGAATGGGCGAAACCGAGTACCCCAATTCTCTTATCTATCCAGAAGAGGAGCTCTGCACATGTTCAAAGACTCTTCAGAGATATTAGAAGATAATAGTTGCCAAATCCTCACCAATGGTGATCAGTGCTACTGAGAGTAGATTATCCGCTTCATTCCCAACAGAATGCCAATCGAAAGTGGAAGTGATGCGAATCTACTTGGAAGTAACAACTAAGTGAAAGAAGAGTCGATGAGCAAACTTTGTGGAGGAAGGACCTAAAACTTCAGAAGTTTGCGAGGCGATGTTCGTTAAAGCTCCAACAAACATCCACCCAGTTCAAGCAACATGAGGCATTTGAGAGACTGGCGCATAGTAAGGATGGTCTTTTCCTTTATCTGGAGGATTCGTAGGAACCAACAGGGATCAACACAACTCAGCCAACCCCCCCACACTAGAGTTAAGAATCATTGGCGAGTTGAAGCAGCATGGCGGATCAAAGGTTCGACTACTCAAAAACAGCAGTGGAGAGCAGCTGGGAGCCAAGAGGCGCATTGCAGCTGGAGCAGAAGATTAAAGACTTAGCAAAGGCAAGGAGTTGCAGTGTCGGCAAAGGCTTCGACGAGGACGTCGAAGGAATAAGTGGGGGAGAATGTTACGGACAAAGTTCTAAACAGGATGTTTGATGTAATACTTGTGTATGTTCGTGCCTTTCTGTTTGTTCATGCTTTGCCTAGCATGTAGAGGAACGGTTGAAGGCTTAACATCCTTATTTTAGTTGGGTTTGGTGGCCTTCTTAGGCTTGTAAATAAATGTTGTGTCATGTGGACACTTGTGGTAGATATTCGGTCTGTAGTGGACCATTTTGACCCTTTGTTGTGCAACTGTTCAAAGCTTGTAAAGTCTGTTTGTAATTTACATTGTCTATGAAGTATTTCCTGGAATGTTTGCTTGTGGATCCCGAGTGAGGCGCTTTCTCTAACCCGTTTTCTCTTTTGTAGGCCCTAAGGGACCATGGGAGGTTTCGGGGAGGTTGACCTTTGCAGACGGACACGCAAGGGTGCCGCACGACTTAGGTAAAACCAGCTAAGTTTGTGACAGTCCGGTATGGGCGGTACGTACCGGTCCGACAGCGTACCGGGACGCAGACCGCTCGCTACCGGACGAAACGTGCTACAGTGCTACAGTATTACACTGTAGGTTCTGAGTCTTTATAACCAATCTTATATCTGTTAAACAATTCTTTCTTAAAAGTATACTGTATATTCGTTTTGTTGATAAACTCTTTGAGGCATCACTTGAAAAGGGCATAAGCGAGATATTCAGGATCAGCAAGGAAGGATTTCTTTTATTCTTTGGTATGTTTACCAATTTAAACCTTAAAGACAATCACCTAGAAATAAAGTAAATGATATCTTGCAGGTATTGCCATGTTTGGGCTTGACTTATTTCATGCAATATGGAACATGATTTTGTTGAATCTCGTATTTTGATGATGAAATCAATTGATAGTATTTATGATTTGATCTGCGTTTTAAGTGACGCAGGATGCTTCGATCAAGATGAGACAATTAAAGTAGGAAGAATCATGTTGGGCCGGAGGAAAACATGTCAGAAGATTGGACGTGAAGTCTAGGAGCTTGCTGGAAGTTCGTTGGAACATTGTCGGGAGATCGTCGGAAGTTCGTCGGAAGATAGTTGGATGAAACCAAGACCTAGAGACTTCTTTAGCTTAAGTATGCCTTGGATTTCGTAGTTAGCACATAATTGAGATTGGATTTGGGCCAACCTAATTAGGGGCCAGTTAGGCCCATGTAAGGATTGTGTTGGGCCCAATGAGAGGCCCAAATAGTGACCCAAGAGGCAGCACCGTCGTAGCACAGTCTTCGAGACTATGTCAGGCGGTGGTACCGCCAGTTTGGGCGGTGGTACCACCCCTGGCAGGGTGCTAGGTGGTGGTACCGCCAGTTTGGGCGGTGGTACCACCCAGTGGCCCAGTGCCAGGTAGTGGTACCGCCAAACTGGGCGGTGGTGCCGCTCGGACCCAGGAAACCCGGGATGAGATGTTTTTAGGCTCCAAGTTTGAATCAACTTGAAGCCTATAAATACCCCTCTCATCCCTGGTTAAATTACACAAGCACAAAGAGTTTTAAAGTGAGAAAACGCTGTAGAAATCACTTGAGAAATCCCTCCTCTAGCTTAAACTTAGAGTTTTGTTTAGAGAGGAGTGTGTGTGCTTGTAAGACTGTCTCCTAAACATGTGAAAAGGAGAAGAGGGGTGTAAAGGGTGGTTGGTCTTCGCCTATTGAAGGAAGACCGATAGTGGATGCCGGTGGCCTTGACGGAAGAGGAATCGGCGAAGTGGATATAGGTCACGATGACCGAACTACTCTAAAATTTGGTTTGCATTTTACTTTGAGCAATTTATCTTTACTGCAAACCTCTTTAATAGTTTATTGCTTTTAATACATTTACGAACGTGTTTCAAGTTAAGTTTCCGTAATCGATTTTTAATGTACGAAGAAATTTCCGTAATCGACGTAATTTTTACCGCTGCACTAATTCACCACTTCCTATTAGTGCCGACTCTTTTCCTAACAAATTTAGACCTCAAAGCTCATCAAATGTGGAACATTGCTACATTCCAATAAATTTAGACCAGCTGAACTGGGAATAGATCTTATAATAGTTGTTTGCCACTCGGCTTGTCATTCTCTGTCGCACTATGACAATGGAATTCTACAACCTGCATTGCCTCAGGCAAGGATTTGATGGCCATATAATTTTCGGTTATTAACTCAGTATACTTGTGTACTTTTTCTGTTGTCACGAGCATTGTTTTGAGAAAGCTGGACCTATGTTGTTTATATCTTGTTATTAATTTTATTTAGACTGTCAGTTTACATATCCTATCCACTAATGTTTTTATTGCAACAACCATTTTGTAATGAGAAAGGTGCAAGGAAAAGAGCGGCCGTTTGTTAGGTATATAGCAGAGCAATTGGGCTTGGAAGGTTCTTTCATTCCTCGTACCTACATTGAACAGATTCAACTAGAAAAGCTTGTGAATGAAGTCATGGTATTGTTTCTTTATAACATCCATTCTGGATTCATTTCTTTTTCTATATAATTTTTGTGCACATATTGTTTTTTCAATTGACAGGCATTGCCTGATGATTTGAGGACAAAGCTCAGTATAGATGATGATCTGGTTTCGAGCCCTAGAGAAGCACTTTCACGAGCATCTGCCGATAGGGTCGCTATGCGAAATAAACATCTTAAAAGGTTCATTTCAGTTTTTGCTGGTAGTGTATTATGAATTTATGAATTCATGACCAAAATAATTCTAATTTGTTTTGCATAATGAGAAGTAGTATGCCAGTTGCAGTCAATATTAAAAACTTGATCAGAAAACTGCTTAAATTTAGACATGCATAATCAAAAATAGTTATGAGTTCTATTAACTTTGAACGCCAATTACATATATCATCTCCCTAGTTAGGATGTAACGTTCCAACTATTGTTACTTGAGTTATCTACTGACCTGTTAACTTAGATATAAATTCTTAAGTTTAAATTATTAGAATTGGACCGTTTTACCTTTAAAATGCTTAAGAAACACCACTTTACAAAGCTCTTGGTCAAACACCTAGCTTATTACAACAACAACAATAACAAAGCCATAAGCCTTAAATATTTGGGGTCAACTATATGGATCTTTTGTCGCTATTGAGATTTGTAAAAAGTCATATGCTTAGTTAAGTTTAGAGTACTTCAATTTTTATTTATAATTTCTATTTAAAGTCTTTTTAGGTCTTCTTTTATCTCTCCTCGGACTACTAATGCTAATTATTTAACCTCTTCTGATTATCGTATCTGGGGGTTATCTTAGCACATGCTCATATCATTTTAAACGATTTTCTCTCATCTTATCCTCTGTCAAAACGATACCTAGTTGTTCATGAATAAAAATATTTCTTTTCTATATTTTCTATTAACTTAACATTCTCATCTCGACAATATAAAGATTATATATATATATATATTTAACTGCCCAACACCTAGATCCATAAAACTGCTACAGTGCGGACCGGTACCGGGCGGTCCGCGTACCGCTGGCCTGTCGGACCGGTACATATCGCCCGTACCGGGCGGTACGATTCGGTATGGCAGACACTGGTTCTAACACTAGTAGCTACATTCAAGGATTGAAATTTCATACCGTACCGGAGTTTCGAGATTTGCTCGATACGGTACGATACTGTATACTGAACGATATATTTTGGTATACCTCTCGGGGTGTGTGTGTGTGTGTATATATATGTATATATATATATATAAGTAAAAAAAAAGCTGATTGCCTTGTTGCCTATTTTGGCGCGTGTGGAGAAGACGACGCGGGCAGAAAATCGAGGCGACGTCGTCTCGTTATATATATATATATATATATATATATATATATATAAAGGGCAATTGCCTCGTCACCCTTTTTGGTGCGTAGGGAGAAGGTTTCTTCTCACCACGCGGGCAGAAAAATAAGGCGATGTCGCCTCTCTTCTCCCGTTGACGCCGAGGATGATGAGAAGTCGCCGACAGACGACGAGGGAGAGCGGCGTCGATCTCCGAGATTCTCCTCTTCTTCTTCCTTTTCTTTCTTCCCTCGGTTAATACCACTGTTCTCCCTCTTCTGTCTTCTCCCTCGGTCACCGCTCTTTCTTCTCCCTCAGTCACCGCTCGATTTAGGACGGTAATGGGGGGCAACAACCCCAATTGATGGTACCGCCCAGTAGCAAGCTGTCCATGTACCGGTCTGTTGGCGGAGCGGTACGTACCGCTCGGTATGGACTGTATTATTTGAAATTAAAATCTTGCCTACATTATCATATACATTTTTAATAACATTAGTATAATTAGTGGATACATATTTCTTTTCTGACACCCACTATAATAAATCTCTAAAAGCCCTACTATAGGATTTCTCTAAGTGAAAAATCATATGCAAATCTTCTTTTTTCTCCCTATACTTTTTCATTAAATGTCTTAATAAATAAATAGTTTTTATAGTTGATTTTTCAAGCATAAAGCTAAATTGATTTTCAAAGATATTTGTTTTAAGCCTTATCCTAAAGTTTTAAAATATGACTCATGATTTTAATTCCTTTATAATTTGAATAATTTTGTATGTCATCCTTATTTTTGTAAATTGGTATTAAAATACTCTTTGTCTATTCATCAGGCATCATTCTAAATCTCATAATTTTATTAAATAAGTTAGTTAACCAAGCTACTTCCTTGTCCCCTAAACTATTTCAGACTTTAATAGGGGTACCATTAGGTTTCACACTCTTAGGTATTTTCATATTCTTTAATACATCTTTTACTTCATTAGCTTTAATTTTATGAATAAATCTATGATTATTAAAATATCGGTATTATTTATTGTTAAATCTAAGTCCTATGTGGAATATCATTAAATAATTTATAAAATAATTTTTTATCTTTTCTTAATCTCGTTATCAGTAACAAATATTCTTTGATCTTCGTCTTTAATGCATCTAATATTACCTAAATTCTTATATTTTCTTTCCCTAGCTCTGGCAATTCAATATGTATCATTGTCACCATCTTCAATATCTAATTTATTATTAAATTATTATAAGTTTTATATCTTTCTATATTAACTGCTTTTCTAGCCTTGTTTTAGAATTTTTTATATATTTTAATTTTTTAATTTTTATAATTTTGCCAATCTTTAAAACATGATCTTTAGTTAAATTGTTTTTTGAACTTCTCATACCACCACCAACTCTCTTTTAAGGTTACACCTTTATCTTTTATTTCACCAAGAATCTATTTTGTTAAACTCCTAATCTTATTAGTCATCATAGTCCAAATAATATTAATATTATTCTCATCTAAGTTTCAAGTCATTTTCTTTTCCATCTTATTCTTAGAAGAATTTACATTATCATCTTTAAATTTCACCATTTAGTCATGGTAATTTTTTTATTATCTTTGTCTTCTTCCATTTTCTACATTGAATATCTAATGCCATCAACCTATGTTGATTCGCTAAACTTTCGCTAGGTATAACTTTACAATTCTTACAAATAACTTTATTCATCTTTCTAGTGAGAAAAAAGTCTATTTGACTACAGTTGTGACCACCCTTATAAGTAATTAAATATTTATCTCTCTTCTTAAAATGAGTATTTACAATTACTTTCTCTCTCTATTTCTCTCTCCTCTTTTTTCTCTGCACGCCGCCGCACACACGCTGCAATCTCACTGTGCGCACACACACCCTGCACGCTGCCCAATTTTGCCCTTTCTCTCTTAATTACTGATTTGGGCTCAATAGACCCAATTGTCCAAACCCACATATGGGCTGGACCCAACAATTCTCCCCCTCCAGCTCATATGATGGGCTGTACCAAGCCCGCTCTTCGCCTACATGCTTCAAGCTTCTCCTTAGGCAAAGACTTTGTCAACATATCTGAACCATTATCATTGGTATGCACATTTTCCAACTATAATTCTTTCATCTCAAGCACATCACGAATCCAGTGATATCTCACATCAATATGCTTGGATCTAGAATGGTATGTTGAATTCTTGGAGAGGTGAATAGCGCTCTGACTGTCACAGTAAACAGTATATCCTTCCTGTTTCAAGCCCAATTCCTGTAGAAACTTTTTCATCCATAAAGCTTCCTTGCAGGCTTCAGTAACTGCTATGTATTCTGCTTCTGTGGTTGATAGAGCAACACACTTCTGTAACTTAGACTGCCAAGAGACTGCTCATCCTGTAAATGTCATCAAGAATCCCGAAGTGGACTTCCTGGAATCAGTATCACCTGCCATGTCTGCATCTGTGTACCCTTCTAACACAGGTTCATCATCACCAAAACATAAACACAACCTGGAAGTACCTCTTAGATATCTTAATATCCATTTCACTGCTGCCCAATGTTCCTTTCCAGGATTTGAGAGAAATCGGCTAACAACTCCAACTGCATGAGCTATATCTGGCCTAGTACAAACCATAGCATACATCAAACTGCCTACTGCAGATGAGTAAGGCACTCTGGATATTTCTAGTTATTATAGAGAAGACCTACTGTAAACCTGTTATCATTATTATTGATAGTGGAAGTTTGAGGTGGACTACGGTCCCGTGGTTTTTCCCACATTGGGTTTTCCACGTTAAAAAGATTTGGTCTCACTGTGTGATTGATTTATTGCTCTATTGTTTATGTTGTGCTGATTGATATTAGCATTTTGATATCAAGTTGGTATTTTGATGAGGAACCTATTTTGATACACAAAGAGGGAAAAGAATTATTCCGCATTAACAGGTTTCTTCCCAACAAGTGGTATCAGAGCACTTATACTACTTGTTGGGAAGTTGCAAAATCGAAAATCATACCACTATATTCATTTTCTGCCCACAAGCAAAGCTGCACCCTTTTATATTCACCATATGTTTTCCCTTCATAATCATTCAAATCTCCTTCAATTGATTATAAAGACTCCTTAAATGATATCATTTAAGCTTTCCTAAAATTCTCTTTTGGTTTGATTATCCAATTTGACTTGAGGGGCATAAGCACTAATAACATTCAAAACATCTTGTTCTTTCATAAATTTTAAGACTATAATTCTATCTCCAAATCCTTTTACATCTACAATATTGTTCCTAAGATCCTTATTAATAACAATTCCTACATCATTTCTGTGTTTATCTTTTCCAACATATCAAATTTTAAACCTAGTACTATCATTCTCTCTAGGTTTTTTTCTTATCCACTTAGTCTCTTGTAAGGAAATAATATTTATTCTTCTTCTGATCATAGTATCTACCAATTCTAATCCCTTCCTTGAAAGTGTTTTTATATTCTAAGTTGTTAACCTAACCCTCGATTCTTAGACTAACTTTTTTACTCCCATTGGTTCAAAACAATGAGAAAACCCTTGCCTACTTGGCACTACATCCAAACGCTGATGTGATGGGCCGCTTCCGAGCGACTTCTTAGCCCACCGTTTGTAATTCGGGACACATAGGTGGTGAAGGTATTTAGCGTCACTTTCGGATGATGATCTAACTCTAGATTGAAATCGGTTAATATCCATGTTCATGAGATCTGACATAATTTTACGTTGGTTGTCAGTGACCTAATGCAACCCTTCACCTTTTTCATTTGGGCTTGGGACCGACATTGGCGGTGTTAAGCACTCAGTTTATTAATGAGGTTAAATTTCCTTTCCAACAATAATCTCAGTTGTTGTAGACTTGTCGTTAAATTACCAATACACTTACTAATAATTGCTAGAAAGAATATAACATCTTCATGTAAATTCTTTTGATCTGTTGCTTGACAAAAGGGTGTGGCAAGTTTTACTCTTAGCCTTATACACCAGCACAATTTATGATCTAAGTTTGATGTGGGATTAATTGAGATATTACAATCTTCCCTATCTAAAGGCTTGACATTCCCATAAAGGCTCAATAGATTGTCTTGAATCTATTCGTGGAGTCCTAGTGCTAGTCTATCTTGAGAAAACTCATCTCAGTGCGTGCAATGTAATCCCCCATCTTGTCTTGTTAGTTCACTTGAGGAAGGTTAGAATTGTTCTGATACCAATTATCATGAGATAGACTTGTTAACCCAAAATTTTGTAGTCGATACTATTCATAAGACTCACGTAGCTTTATATATCAGTGAAGTAACATTTTGATTAAGATTTGGTACCAGATTAAAGGAAGTTTTTTTAGTTGTATGCATAACTCATTCCACGAAACTAGTTCTGCAATTTGGTGGTTGCCTATTATTTTTTATCATGAGAACAACCCTCTTAAATCTGCCTTCATTCTTTCTCAAGTCCATATGGCTTTGGTTGCAATGGACATAATGCAAGGCAATTTACTGATTGAATGACACTACCAGGCACTTGCATGGCACAAAAAGTCTAAACAATGTGAAAACACCAATGTTGTTTTTTGATAATTAATAAGTAATATATAAACGAGCACAAAAAGTCCAAAAGATTTTGTTGCAGGTCTTCTTCTACCTTTTTTCGGTGCTAATCCTAATTGCATCGTCACATTTAACTAATGCATCTATAGGTGATCTATTGTTGTAAGGATCTGGCAATCAAAATTCATGTAGATGATTATCTATATTTGGTGACAATAGCCATGTTGATTTCCACGTAGAAGTCTAGGTTTTGTTGTCAGATAACGTGTATCACAAATTTAAGGTAACGACTTGTTTAAAAATATATCTTGTGTATTTCTTCAGTGGAATGTCCCACTCTTTTTCAACACAAAGGGACAAAAATATTGCTAAGCTCACCAGACTTGAAGTCAACAGCAGCAGGTTTGATGGACGAACACCTGAATCACCTGCAGTTAATCGGGTGAGTTTGTCTGCTTTCATGATGCTCATCTAGTAGAGATTGCAAATGATGAATGTTCATAATTTGGTTTTTTTTTATTGTGTTGTCTGTACTTTGTACTGCACTTGCTGACTATTAACATGAACTAATGATGTATTTTGTTCCTTGTATGCTTATCTATCCTATGTAGGAGGTGGTTAACCAACTATCAGAACAGATATCAACTCTGAATGAAAGGATTGATGAGTTTAGTTCGCGAATCAAAGAACTTAGTTCAAAGTTTAGTTCACAGAAAACTTCCGTGAGCCAACAAAACTTGGCCCTCCAAAATGAAGCTTGTAATGGCTCTGTCCCAACTTCGGTTTTTGTGTCTAACTTGGGCAACGGTACCATTTTGCCCAGTTCATCTTCTTCCACCCAACTGAATAAGGATTCTCCCCTGATGGAAGAGGTATGCCCGATTTGATAAGCTTTACTTTTAGAAATAAACTGTTTTAGCGGCAGGATTGTTTGATGCTATGAAAGCTCATGTTTTATGAAACTCGGCATATTTTCTATAATTCTAAGAATATTTCAAGTTTTACACAGCTTCAAGTTTGTTTCAAGTCTTTCTGCAATTTAACTTCTCTTTCCACTACACAGTGTCAATGAACCCATTTTGATTATCCATAGTTAAATGTGAACTGCTTTATCATAACAACAATAAATATATCCAACATTTTATTATACTTCCTCTTGAATGGGGGCATTAGCTACTTTCTTTGCCTTCAGTATCATTTCGTTCTGTTTCCAGCTCTAATTTCTCATGTTATCCTCATTGTACAATCACATTACTGAAAATGCTGCCACAATAATCTGGATTGAATCGGAGAGAGAACTGAGGCAATTATTGATCCAGTAAAATTTTCAGTTGTGTATGCTATGATTATTTGACAACATGACGTTGATATTTCTAATCATTGGCAGCTCATGCTCATCACTCGAGGACAGCGTCAAGTGATGCATCAGTTAGATAACCTCTCTAATTTAGTTCATGATCAATTGGCTGTATTGACTCAGCAAGACAGAAGGGATAACAGAAGCAGATTTCTTGACTTGGATCTTATTGGGAATCCAGTTCTCATACTCCTGGTGGGTGGCATCAGCTTTTTCCTATTAAAAAATCTTAGTAGGAACTGAATTGAAGGCTCGACTCCATTTTGGATCGCACCAGAATTCTTTTACATGAGCCTTGGGGATTGCCACATCGGTCTTAATTCATGACCTTTAATATTGCAATGCTATCGACTCAGCTTGAAGGTCACACATGATGGATTTTGTAGGAGGCACGGTGTTGTTTTCCTGCCTTTTGTTCTTTTTCCATTTCTTCTGCATGAGCCATAAATTTGTATATTTAAGATGTGGAAGTTCCAGATTCAAAACTAATGCTGTGGCAATCTCTCGAGTATATAGTTGTAATAAATAGTTCTAGCCTCTAATTACCAAGCGCTGGTGTTTAATTTACCAAAGAAGGAAAATGTTCATGTCTGCTTTACTGCTTGCGTGGATGTGTGACCTCAATTTTAAGGAGCTTGAATTCATCGCCCAAATTCGCTGCCCAAAAAATGACAACCACCGTCTCTCTCTTCTATAGCAACTTCTGCAATTTAAAGCAGCTTCCTACTGTTGATCGAGCAATTTGTTCTGCAGGTGCATATGATGATGCTTCACAAGCGGACATGGAGGTAAGGAATCCAATTGCTGTCATTCCCATCAACTTGTACATGGTTTTCTAATTTAGTCTCCTATGTTTTCAGCTGCGGTTTCAAGAACTGGTGCAAATTTTTGGTTTGTTTCAGGTACTTTTGACTTCGATTTATCCACACAAAGATGTACAGTGTCTGATTCCTCAGGTGAACATAACTTCTCACCGTACTCTATTCTTTAAAGAAAGAAACAAAATGTTTTAGTTGTTGTTTTTCTCAGAACAATAACCTGTTGATTTCGATCAAACCAAGCTCGAATTGCAGCACTGTGCGTCCGGAATCCAATCGGATCCATCATCTTCTGGTCAGCGAGATTCTTACGCCATTGTCGTTTATCGTACGTGCATTATAGTGCTTCTGGTAGATTCGATTTGGTTCCCACGTGGTCAAAATAACACGTGAGGAATGATTGGTCGGTAAATTTTTGGCGGAGCGGCCTTCGTCAACGGTCAACCCCCAAAACCTTCGACGTGGCCGTCCACCAGCTTATAACACAGTCAAAAACCATTAAACGGAGGAATCTATGATACGCGGCCAACCGTGGGAAATCCGAAAGGACAGAAGACTCTACATTATTGTGGTCAAAATCTGTCATAGGAACCCGAATTCCCATCTCTCTGTTGCAAGGTAAAGGTAGCAGCATCATTTGGTTCCCGGAAGTGGATTGAGGCCTAACAAGTACAACAAAAATTATAGCTCTTCTTCCCGTGTCCATGTTAAACATGAGAAAACCCACGAAAACCGGTCAAAAATAAGTCAATTCTGACTGCAAGGACTATGCCACCTCGGATGCCACTATCTACGATCCAAAATGCTCCTCCACGTAGACCCATTCCGCTTCTCTCCCCCTTGCTCTCCTCTACCCGTTTGGTCTTAACGTTTTGACTTCGCGTCCATATACAATTTTAATCTGCGGTCAACCCCCCCCCCACGCTCAAGAAAGTCAACCCATACTCCGTATGGTTGACCTTCGAGAGTTGTCGTCGAGCATAAATAGCCGCGTTCGTTCCACGACTGGAGCACCACACCGTTCACCAGTTGGTCGGCGAGATGAGCAGAGTCGGAGCGGAGCCGAGCGAGGAGAGAAGGTACAAGGGGGTGCGCCGCCGGCGATGGGGCAAATGGGTGTCGGAGATTCGCGTGCCGGGGTCCAGGGAGCGCCTGTGGCTGGGTTCCTTCTCCACCCCGGAGGCTGCCGCCGTCGCCCACGACACCGCCGTGTTCTTCCTCCGCGGCCCCGACGGTTCCCGCGGCGGCTTCAACTTTCCCGACCGCGTCGCCACCTTCGCCTGGGCCAACTTGTCGCCGCCGTCGGTACAGAGGGTGGCGTCCGAGTCGGGCATGGACGTTGATGCTCGGTTAGCCGTTCACGCACCGGAGGCACAACCGAGGCCGGAGGTTGTGCTCGTAGACAACACAAGAACTTGGGAAGAGGGAGGAGAACATGGCTTGTACAGGGTGGGGGATGAGCTTGTTGGAGACATCTGCTTTGATGCCTTGGAGATGCATATCCCAGCTCAGAATGACTACAGATATTGAGGGACTGAGATGCTTCTACTCTCAGGATTTGAGGAGGAAATAATCTCACATAAGAAACAGGGTTTACATGTTCCGAGTGTTAGTGAGAGGGAAACGTGCCTGACTGGAACATAGAAAAGCTTTTAATTAGTGTTGATGCAAAAAGGCATTATATTGGCGACCATGTCGAAGGATACATGCTGTGTCTTTTTTGGTATGAATTGATTCATTATTCCAATCATCACAGGTAAAGAATGATAAGATACAATCGAACTTAGTAGTCATTAACTGCTGCAATCCAAACAAGATTCTGGCATACAAAAGTGTTGCTATTTCTGTGCTTGGTGCTTGGCATCAGTTAATTGCATTCTATCCTGTGGCAAGAATCTTATGACATGAGTGGCCAGTAACACTAGGCAGTTCCAGGGACGCATAAGCTGGAAGAGTACTCCCCCACATAGCAGCATCTAACGAGGAACTTTGTTCATGTCAACATGCTCTAGATTCTCATTTAGACACTTAGAAACAAGACCGTACAGTCTTTCTGTAATAATAGAACTACTCCCAAGTCAGCCAATCGTTTGCTGAAATATGTGGTTCCGATAGTTTATCTTGTTTCCCATCCTCCTTGCCATCGTTTTTGTAGCTTAAACAAGAACTCCACTGACTCTGTAGTATACATGTCAGGAACAAGGTGTGAGAACTCAGCCCGGAAGTAGTTGCTCTGTTGGCCTGTTCTACTAAAATGAGCTGCACAGGGCCTCTCGCCGGCGATACTTGCAGATCCTGCAGAAAAATCACTACCAGATATGCTTTTTGATGCAATGAAAACCAGGGATTCCATCATCTGAATCAATTACAAATCATTTTAGATCGCCCAACTTTGATTCCCCTCTTTCACCAGCGCCATTGATATGTTCACGCAAATTGGAAGAGAATCTTTCGGTGGAGGCTGCATCATTCTGAACACAGGTGAGTATGTATGGCCAAGAGAAGAGTTGAACGGCTTGAAAGTGTGAGAGGAATCCATGCAAGAGGCCAATCAATCGACATGGAGTAGCAAACACAGACCATATCTCAGCTCAAGGGATTACATACTTTACAGTCGGTAGCCAAAGTCAAAGTCAAAGGATTTCACACGCGTTATCATCGATGAGCATTGGTAGTGGTACTTGTTCATAGTCAACAGAACTCACATCATCCGAGAATCTGAGCTGAAGGAGAGACGAATCCATTGGATCGGAGATACTTTGTTCCTTAGATCAGCCCGTTACATGCTCCACCACTAACCAACCCCACATGAACATCCAAATAAATAAAGAACATAGCTTATGGGACAGATAATGTGAATGAAGAGGCCTTTTCCATCATTCATTGATTGAACCCATCTAATTCATGGATCAGAGGACCAACTCTTGTTGTTCTCGTGGCTCAATCAAATGTCACCTAATATTTTAAGAAGCTTTGGATCTAACGAAACCACACCCCCTAAGAGCAGGTAGTAGTGCTCTCCACCAAATGGCCTAAGCATGCATGTAGTTGCTCTCCTGTCATCAACCACTCATAATGCCCTTTTGTTTCCTCTTCCACAGCATAAAATGATCACCAGCTCGTTACTCCCCAGAAAGCAAAAGCATCCTTCTCTTCCGACAACCACCGACGATAATACACTGTCACCGAATCCAACATCTCGCGACCTTAAATCTTTTCTCTTCTCTTCTCCCAACACTGCTTAACGTAACCATTCATGAGGCCCAAGATGCAGAAGATCTTCAGCCTAAAGCTCCTCATCTCCGTTCTCTTCCTCCTCTTCGTGCTCTACTGGGTGATGTCTCCTTCATCCTTTCGGCTCCAGCAACAAGCTTTATCCGTTCCATCAACACCACCTTCGTGCACCAAGCTTCCGCCCTCCTTGGCGGACGCCATCCTCCACTACGCCACCCTCAACATCACTCCCCAGCAAACCATCGACGAGATCTCCGTCGCAGCTCGAGTCCTGCGGGAGAAGTCCCCGTGCAACTTCCTGGTCTTCGGCCTCGGCCACGACAGCCTCATGTGGAGCGCGCTCAACCACGGCGGCCGCACCTTGTTCCTCGAGGAAGACGAGGGGTGGATCGAGGCCTGGCGGCTGCGGCTGCTCCCGGTGGTAGCGGAGACCTACCACGTCAAGTACGACACGAGGGTGAGCGAGGCGGAGCAGCTGCTGGAGTTGGGCGCGCGGGCGGACTGCAAGGCCGTCGGCGACTTGAGGCGGTCCGGGTGCCGGTTGGCGCTGAAGCAATTGCCGCCCGTGTTCTACGAGGTGGAGTGGGACCTGATCATGGTGGACGCGCCCACCGGGTACCACGCCGGCGCTCCGGGGAGGATGGCGGCGATATACACGGCCGGCGTGGCGGCGAGGTGGAGGAAGGAGGGGAAGACGGAGGTGTTCGTGCATGATGTGGATCGAGCCGTGGAGGACAGGTTCTCCAAGGCCTTCCTGTGCGAGGGGTACATGAAGCACGAGGAGGGGCGGTTGAGGCATTTCACCATTCCCAGCCACAGGGCCAACACGGAGCGGCCATTTTGCCCTCCATAGCGACCATGAATCGTCTCTCACCTTCACACACCACCTTGTTTCCTACGCATTTCCCATTCTCCCTCATCGCTCTTTTGTTTTAGTTCTTCCTCGTCGATTCCAATAGGCATTTGACACAGAAGATTCTAATTATCGAGCAATGTTGTCTTACGATTCTTTCTTATAAAGATGTTAAAGACATATAATTCGAATTCAGTTGACATGTTTCAGTTGTTATAAGTAATACATCTCAGCATCATATAATATAATAAAATTTTATTTTTTATTTTTAAAAATAGAGTGATCTTAAAAAAAATCGTCTCTTGACTTAAGTTTTTGGATATAATGCTACTGATAAAAGAATTAACATTAATAGGCTACATATTAAAAAAATCATTGATCTTGAGAGGAGAAATTTTAAAAATTTATGAATTATTAGTCTATCAAAAAAAAAAAAAAAAAGGGAAGAAGTCTATATTTATCCACTTGAGAAAAAGACTAACTTTATCTTAATTTCACTATCCAATTGAAATATAATTATAGTGATATTCTTAAAACTAATACTATTATGATTGTAATTAGCTATATATACTCTTATAATTTTATAGCATTTTAGAGAGGTTAACTTATTACTTGACTAAAAAATTAATGTAATTATACTCATCGTTCGTCTTATCGATTTGTACTAGTGCATCGATTACCAATTATATCAAGTCGTAATGAGTGTATTGACACGTGGTACATAGGAGCATGTCGATGTACCATCTATATTAGACTCGTATCGAATTATATATACTGTTTGTTCGGAATGATATGGTACAATGGACCTTAATTATATATATGAGTTTAGTACCTTTAGTTTATAAAATTTTAAACATATTTTATAAGTGATAGTAAAAAATTGATTGATTATCACAAAATCAAATCACCCTTGAAAAGGGTGATAAAGCATGCCTAAGTAGCTTTTGTTCTTCAAAAATATATTTTTAATTTAGTAAAAACGTCGACTAGCTTAGCTGATAAATGTTTTCAATAATTTATCGCAAAGTTATAGGATCATACTCGTTTATTCTTAAAAAAATAAAAAATAAAAAATTTCAAACTCAATTACCTTCTACCCTCACCTGCCCATCTTGAGGTGGGACCCAGCGGATCCCCCGTCTACCTCCAATGAGAGAGAGGTGCTTGTAACGTGAGTCATAGATATCGGCATCATAAATGAAACGACGATATAAGCACGACTCGGCCGATATGGTTCTCATATCGGTATCGGCGAACGTTCCGTCACATAAATCATTTCGTTATGATGTTCCGGTGGAGCATCATAAGTAGCACGCTAACATGTTCCTTGACGTCCTCGGGAGGCGACTCATTTTTGTACTCAAAACCAGCGGCCCACAGAAACGAGAGAGGCGATCGATCGAGGGACGGCGGCGATGGCGGACAGCTCGGATTCCTCGCCCATGGGGTTCCTGTGGAGGCACTACGAGGAGGTGAAGGAGCACTGGAGGAGCAACTTCTCCTTCTTGGACTACTACAAGAAAACCTTGGGGCGCAAGGAGCCGCTCCCCAAGTGGACCGACGCCGACGTTGAGGAGTTCATCGCTTCCGACCCCGTCTACGGTCCCCAGGTGCTACTGCCATCTCGATCCCCATTTTTCTTTGATTTATTCTCCGGGAGGATCTCGATCGATCTGGTTTTCTGTTCGTCTTTAGGGGTTTGCTCGTCTCCTTTTGATCCGGGCCATGATTTGCTTATGGAAACAGGAAAAGATTCGATTTTTTTCTCGATTAGGTCTTGATTCTTCTTTTTCTTTTGTTATATATGCAAATCTTTGCTGGTGATCGACGATCTCAGCTTTGATAGTAATTGCCAGAGTAGATTGTATATTTTTATGGTGATCGAAGTCTTCTCTTTTCCTCCACAGATGATGATTATTATTTCTTTGGTGCTTTTTTCCTAGTTCTCTCTTTTGCTTAATCACTGTGCGGCTTTTTTCTCTATGTTATTGCAAACAGATGTGTGTATATATATAATAAATAAATAAATATAAATATAAATATAAAATGAGGTAAGAATGTTGTAGGGAGATAGATACTGCATCAGCGTTTCTTATGGATTCTGCGATTAACTGGCTTTTGCATCAGTATTACCTTCAGACTGATCTTGATGATTCATCAGAGGTGGTGTCGAGATGAAAATGTGGCGACTTGAAGCATTTTTTTTATGAAGAATAGATGAACTCGAAGCTAAAATCTAACTTGTTTTAACTCAGATGTGAAATATGTTAATATGAATCCCTTTTTATTTAGTTGCAAATGAGCCGATTGAATGTTGTATGGATCTTTTTCTTTCGTCTCTTTTCAGTTAAAGGCTATAAGGGAATCGAGGAAGTATGCAATTGGTGGAGCTCTATTGGGTGCGGCTCATTTAGGTGGTGTTTCCTTGGGATACTCAAAGAGTCCACATGGTAATATGATTGCTTCTCTCTCATAACCATTCCTTGTGACAACAATTTATGCATCTAAAATGTTTGCCAATAAACTTTTCTGCCGAACTATAACTTACAATTTTTTGTATGGTTTATATTGCTAATTTGTCTGTCCCACTTCTATTTTGTATGGTATAAATGCCTGATTTTTGTATTTCATCTATAGTTACTATTATGTTTTACATCATATTCGCTGAAAATTTTGGAAGTTTGGTGTGAAATATACTATATGGATTTTGGATATGCCATAAAGATGACCGAATGATACTCATCATTTTACTATCCCAAGTACTTGCTATATTCCAACAGAATGAACACTTAATTGTGAATAGTAGTATCTACCGATAAGTGGATTGGCATTGAAATCAAGTTGATAGCATTCAAATAGCTACTATGAAGAAGCTTTTGAAGAGTTATGAAGAACAAGTTTTGGTGAATAGAGAAAATTACCCATTAATACATGTTCATTTTTCACATGTTCCACGGTGATAGTATGTTCAAAAGTGATCCAAAATATAGGAGGAAAATTCCAGAACTATTTGCAAAGACTGGGATTCTTTGTTAGTCGAATGTAAGTACGAGTTGAGGATTAAACCCATGTCTGAACCAAGGTTGCTAAACCTAGGAAATAGTTACTTGTGCTTTTTTTAAAGTAGTGTTACCTAAGGACATTAGTTTTTGTGGACAATTTTACACTGTGATTGCATTCACAAAGTTATTTTCTTCAAAAGCCGAGAAAAGAAGAAAAGTAAAACCAAACTCTTTTTTTATTTTTTATTTTCAGGGCGACCTTATATTCCTGGGAACAGTCACTTCTTTCCTATTAATATAACAAGTAGATGTCTAGATTATGAGGGATACCATCCATTTCTTTAATACGGTCAACCACTGTAGGTTTTGTCTTGGCTACTGCATTTGGAGCCCTCTGTGGTGGCATCTTTGGATTAGAAGTTGCTGAACACTGGGGGCAACTCTACAAGATCGATAAGCAGGCAGCAAATCTCAGGTTCCTCTACTGGTGGGAGGACAAAATTTCAGGTCGGTGATCTCTTTTTGGCTAAACGTATAATTGTTATGTTCTGTTGTCTTAACTAGAAAAACCTTCTCTCTCTTGGTTTATTCTATTGAAAAATGGTTTAGCAGCCTAAGAGCGTTTTTATTTTCTCTGTGAATTTATCGTATGCTTTTGTTGGCTAATCAATGTGCTTCTCTTCATTATTATGTGCCTAATTCTGATTTTATCCATGTCTTCTACTTGTCTATCTCTTCTTATTTTCAAATTGTTATGTTTGTATACAGGAAAGTAAAGCAACTTTCATCTGGTTAGGTGTTTCAACTGGTCCTCGGCATTGCCTGCAGAACTCGTAATGGAAAAGATCCCCACTTTTGTTTCTTATCTTTTGGAATAAAATAGCAGCTGTGATGATTAAATCCAGTTAAACAGACATTTTGAGTTTGAACAAAATGTGTTTCATGATCTTGGAGGTGTCCGGTTTCTTTCGCCGTCTTCGTAGAAAGTGTTCTTTGACACCTTGTGTATCCAAGCTGTCAAAGATAGTAATTTTCATTTTATATGCTATGCCTGTGGGTTTAAGGGTTTTATCTATTCTTAGATCATGTATCTTTTTAATGCTTTTAAGACTGGATGTATTAGTTTCAGGTTTCTTTTATTAGCAGGGAAAGGAAGCATCTTATGATAAGATTAAATTTGATGCAGGGTAACATGTTTTTAGGTGCTTAATTGTTACCTTAGGAGCAGTATTGGTTGTCATGGTTTTGTTTGAGACTCCTACAGAGGAAGATGAAACAACTGAACGAAACACTTCATGGTTTGATTTGAGACTCCTACGGAGGGGAAGATGAAACAATTAAATGAAACACTTAATGGTTTTGTTTGAGACTCCTACACAGGTTAAAATTGTACTTGTGCAACTCCTATGAGAATAGTTATTCTAAGAGGTAATCGTATACTATTATGACATAGGTTGTGTTTGGGAAATGTGATTACGTTTATTTGGTAAACAACAGATGAAGATGAAAATTGTCTTTCAAAAAGTTCAATGAATTTTTGTAATATTTTAAATATTCATTTAATTTAAATCAATAAGTAAATAAATAAAACAAATTAATGAATGCATGCAATCTAATCTCATAAATAAATATAAAAAATTCATGTTGATTTTTTATTAAATTAATTTTGATAATATTATAATTTTAAATAATATCATAGGATATTTTAAAATTAAAAAAATTATATTAGGATCTCGTAAATATTAAAATGATAATGCTATCATTTCCGATGCAACATTTATGCTAGATGTGATTCGAATGCAACATTTAGGTTATATGTGATTCGAACGCATCGAAATATGGATTGAGCTTTTACTGCACATCTTAAATGTTTTTTCCAATGCATCCATAAAATAGAAGCAAGAGTTAAATGAGTCACGAGGCACTACGTATCTATCATTGTTGCATAAAGAAGCAATCTATCTTTCAGATACTGCGAGGGGGAAACATCTCTGTTGCATATAGAAGCAAATATTGGTGCATTTGTTACCTCAGCAGGATTCACATACTTCCAACTTTCGGAGGCAAGTAAAATACTTCTTCAAGGATAAACCTGAAGAAGTGGTGGTGTTTTCGAATAGTCAGTTAGCTTCAACTTAGCAATATTACATGCATCGTTTGGTTAGAATGCAACGATTTCTTGCAATATTAACTCATGGAAGAATGCAACGCCTGCTTGCAGAAAAAAATGGCGTAGTAAATAATACATGCATCGTAAGGTTAGAAGGAGGCAATTTTCAATGGAAAAAGCCATGCTTGCTTACAACAATGATAAATTACAATACAGATAAGATAGTAAAAAGAATTGAGATACTAACACATCGGTTTGCTAGCTGGGACTCTCCATCTCGTGGCCTTAATGAGTGATTATCCTATTATGCCTGCTGACAGCAAAAAAGACTTGGCAGGTTAAGAACTATGATTTCGATTTCTTAGCAAATCTGCTTTAGAAGAATATTTTCAGCTGCAGTGGTGTGTTTGTTTTAACCAATTAGTATTAGCCGGTCAGGAAGAAACTATAAGCTGACAACTACGGATGAAAGCTCAGATTCTCCTTCCACTTCATTCTCCGACTGACCATTGTTTTCCTGCAAATGGAATTCGCATGTTAGCGTGTTCCTATGAAATAGGCTCGCAAGTTTATTTGGTGCCACCACACTGTGTACTGTCCGTATAATATATCATCTACGTGATCGAGTCACTATTAATATTAACATTGTAACCAGATGCTGTGGATGCTTTATCAACTGTCCTACCCTGACATTTTTAGATAAGACTCACGCTACCATCTAGCAGCCAACAGGTATCATCTGGCTGAAGAAGCTTCATAGCTAGAGCAAGTGACTTTTAGCTGTATCATGAGCACTGACACTTTGAAAGACATACCACTATAGGTTATGACCAGATTGATGACAAATGAACATCTTAATAAACCACAAATTCTTGGTAAAGGTGGTTTTGTTTTGCAGCTAATTAGTGTGAGGCCTAGCCTAAAACTTCCTTGCTTAAAGCTATCCATTAATGACTTGCAAAGTGATGTATGATTCACCTTGTTTCTGGCGAGGTACCCCTCCAACGCACCATTTCCTCGAAGAATTTTAGCTCCACACCCTGATTTGTCAAGGGAGCCAATGGCATCTTCATCCACGACAATTGCATCTACTCGATCATTTCCAGTCTTCACATCTGGAATCTGAAACCAAGCACATTAAACAAATAGTTAAAAATAGGAAAAGAGGCCCTGCGAGCTTAAATGTTGGAACCAGATATAACGAAAATATGATTATATGGATAATCTCTCTCTCTCTCTTTTTCTTTCAACTTGATTTCTGGTTTGCGTTTAAGGGCAGGAGAACGAATGCAAAACCAGAATCATGTGAATAGAATCCCCCACCATTATGTCTACAGAAGATTTAGAAACTTGACCTAGGTCTAGTCTTGGTCCTGTATTTAGATTGACACTCCAAAAGAATTGACAGAGAAGATAACAGAGCAACAAAATGAATTTGAGAAAGTTTAGATCAGGCCATCATATATAGCCATGCTGGACTCTCATTTTCAATCCAGAAGTAAATCTAATAATCTGATTATGGAACTCTGAATTTGTCCAAATTCCACATCCTTTCAGGCTTGGGTATGGTCCGTTCTTTAGTGATACCCAGGGTAGTACCTGAATTGGACTTACGTAGCTAGCGAACAACTCTATAACATCCAGAAAAAGCAACAAAGTAAATCAAATAACTGGTTCCAGGTTTATGTTGAAGCTGAGCTAGCTTAATAAATGTAGTCATGATGCACTCAGAACCCTTTTGACTCTAGGTTAATCGGGCTCAAAGACACGGACGAATGCAACCACAAGTCTTGACAGACGTAGATGCTGTGTTCTTCAAACAGTTGCAAAATAGGAACTGCTCTACACATTCTTTCAGCCCGTGGTGGCACATGTTTGATTCAAAATTCCAGAATGCAACAATTTCCCTATTGTACATATGTTCCATAATTAAATATTACATACATTTTTCTCTCTTAGAAGCATATTAGAGGTAATTGGTCGGCTAGAAGATCCACTTGGTGTATTTCGCAGGCAACGCTTTCATCCTATTGTAACAAACATAACAGATAACTGTAATCTTACCTCATACATTGCTTCAGTAAGAGTACTTTCTAGAATAGCTCTTAAACCTCGAGCACCTGTATTTTTAACCATTGCTTTTCTTGCAATCAGCCTAAGAGCAGCGTCAGTAAAATGCAGCTTTACCTGGAAGTTAATATGATGAGAAAGAATACAAGAAGCAACCATGTCTGGAAGAATATAGTATGATAAGCCACTAATAAAGCTAGCTTACGTCGTTCAGACTAAATGTTTTCTTGTATTGTTTTCCAAGGGCATTCTTTGGCTCTGTTAGGACCTGAAGTTGGCACTGTATATGTTAATTTCCTCAATGATTATCAAGAGGCACAAAAATAGAGGACTTCAACCAAAAGCTTTCACATTCAGACGTCAACAAGTATGGGAAAATTGAAAACGTGTTTCTGAAAACTGATTACATACACGATTCAATCAATTTCCAGAAAGAAGAACCCAATTCAGCTGATTCTACTGCTCCAAACACAAATCACATAATAAATTTTTGGTATACTACAAACGATCTTTTATTGGTCACTTAAACAGCAGCTAGAGCAGTGTAAATGAGATATTGAACCAACATGAATGTTTAAAAAAATGAGTTCAGCACATCAGATAAAAGAGAAAAACAATAAGATAGAAAAATAGTTGAATTATGTTACCTGAACAAGTTGATCTTCATTTAGAGATGACAAACTAACCAGAACTGGAAAGCGCCCAATGAATTCTGGGATGAGACCGTATGCTACAAGATCACCACTTTCAACCTTTGAAAGAAGTTATATAAATTCATCTTGTGCATTAACAATTACTAAGCAAATGATGAAAAGATTTCCCAAGATGTAAGTTATCTGAGAGCCCACCGATTCCATCAAGGTAGATGTTACAGCAGAATTGGTGGTCCCACCAGTTCTCAGGTTTGCACGTACAGGTGCACCAAATCCTATTGATGAATCTTGTCGTCTGTTGCATATTGAAAAATCAGGCCATCCTCATACTCCATGATAAGCAAGAGTATTCAGGGAAGACTGCTGCAAGTATTTAAGATCAGGAAATCCATCACATTACCTTTCTGAAATAGTCTTTTCCAAATCAACAAAAGCACCACCACATATAAAAAGAATATCTTTAGTATTTATCTGCAGGTCATTGCAAACATGTGGTTAAAGCAATGTTAACCAGTAGAAGGCCAAGTATATGTTAAAAAAAATGAATCATCAACCTATCGTGCATAAAAGCTCAGTTGATGGAGTCCCTTATACACCCTTTTTTCTTTAATCCTTCAGGCTGTGTTTGTTTATGTTAAGAATGGGTATAATGGTGGTTACAGGTTTATCCTGTTTATCTTAAGTCACAAAGGGTTCAATTGACCCAGTCAAAAGAGGTAAAATCTGAATAACCCCAAATTAAAACAATCCAACTAAAGGGTGCATTTAAATTCCCCTCCCTTTCTAGCTAGTTTAAAAATATTTTATTCTTGTTTTACAAATCTGAAAATTAACTACTTGTCCTGTTTTTCAAAGCAAAACAGAGACAATAGTTGATGAATTTGGTCAACCAAGAGAGGTAGAGTGTTCATAGAGCTGCCAGGAATCTCTTCGAAAGTATTTGACAAAATTAAACAATTCTTTGGATGCTTCATATTTCTTTGTTCTTGCAAGTTCTCATGTTGTAGGGAGAAAAATATAATTCTTATGTGGCAAAAGAAAATCAGTGAGAACTATGAGCATGACTATTTAATGGAAAAGGATAAGATCAGTTACATAAATTACATGTCTATATAAATCAAGAAAGAGCAGTAAAAGAATAGATCATCAACTAAATAAGAATCAGAGAGTTCTACTGCAGTGGATAACAAAAATTACTGAGAAACAAGAGCATGCGTAGAAGAATAGAAGAGTGTGAGAATAGAGGGACGTAGGAAGAAGCAGAATGATTGTGCATGGAAAACAACCAATCTATAAGGAGTTGAATCTGGACTCCAGAACATAATGCATCAGGAACATGCACCCAATCTCAGTTCAATAATAATGTACTTGAAAATTTTAAAAAATTCCAGCAGTAATCCGAAATTGGACTCTTAAACAAATAGTTATTTGTTCAAACAGCTGTCAGATTATTTACTTGGAGACAAGCTAATCTCAAAATGGACTCTTAACAAATAATTATTTGTTCAACTAGTTGTCAGCTAATTTACTTAAAGATGAACTTTTCACTTACCCACGCATCACTAACACCTCTGAAAAATGAAAAGAAGAAACACAAACAAATCTGTATTTTGTCCTCATAATAAATGCACGCATTTAAAAAGGGAAAACATTGCATTATGGATCAAGGATTTCTCATCAGTAAAACTAGAATCTTCAACTAAGAAGTATATTTGCAGGCTTCAATTCACAACATTAGACAGTATCTTAAAAAGTAGTGCAAGCTTCTTTCAGAAAAATGTCATCAAATTACCTGTATGGTTTCACCACGAGATTGCTTCCGAGCTCCTTTCTCAGGAACACTGACCATCTGAATGGTGGATTACACAATTAAAAAATCAAGAAAAGATTCTCACTTAGTATGAAGTAACTTCATCACTAATAACATGAAAGAAATTGTACTTCTATTGAATTCAAAGCATCCTGAGAAGAGAAGGGCTCATTCAACACGTGAACAACTTATCACATAGAAAGATAAAATGAATAGACCATGTACAGCCCATCAAACTAATAATGGGAGTTTTAAAGTTTTGGTTCTGGAATACATTTTGGTCAAAACTCTCAGCTTCACACATCAATGCTTTAAAAGAATTCATGAAAAGAAAAAAAATCATATAGGAAAATGGAAAAGAAAAAAGATCATATTGGAAAATGGAAAATCAGATGTCTTAAGTCTTAACATACACAACATGATGTCACCCATTCAAAGGTTAACAACCAAAATTTTATTCTCCTTTTTGTTATAAACAGGTTTATCTGGAAAATTCATGTTTAAGTAACGAGTGAAATGTCAATCATATTTATCCTGTAACTTATTATTTTGAATAAGAAAATGATAGTTCTCTGCTTTGATGTGTACTGGCATAACCAGTTGCCATGTGCTATATTAATTGCCATAAACAAAAACAGTTCTAATTCTCTGCTACCAAGTTCTATACTAAAAAGAAAATGTTCTAATAGGAAAATTTCATGCAATTATAAAATTTATGATATGGAAAAATGGAATAGATTATGCTCATGAAAGTAGAAATCCTTCCATCTACTTAATGCATTTGATGGCTGGAAAATAAAGTAATACTAGCAACCTGAAAGGAAGGTCATCTCACCCACTAGTTGTCAAAATTAGTCTACAAAGCAAGAACACATATTTTGCTCTCAAAATGTTTGGGGTTGACTACATGGATCTATTCCCACCATGAAGCTCTATAATATTTGTAGTCAGAGACATGGAATTTTTTTTTAAAGTACTTGTAGGTCTTCCTCTGCTTCTCGTTGCACTAGATCCTAATTGACTCACCTGTTTATCTGGTGGGTGAAACGGTCATAGTCTCCTATTTCTGGAAAAGCCGGCTCTTGGGCAGACTAGAGGACAGGATGCCTTTTCATCTTTTGAAGATACCTCAGAGCATACGCCCTTCCTTTAAAGAGCTTTCGATAGGTTCCTACTTGCTAGTCATCGAGCTTTAGATAGGTTCCTACCTGCTAGTCATCATCGTGCTAGATTCCTTGGGATTGGGAAAGTCCTTCTGTAATAAATGAATGATGATTTTCCCTCTCTATGGACTTCCGTAAGAATCTATGAAGAATAAATGGTACAGATCTGGCTCCGCACAAGATAATGTAAGAGGCCATATTAGCTGGATTTGCATCTGGAAGGGCTCTGTAAGGTTTAGGTTTTCCCTTGCCAACTATGGAATCTGGGGATGGGGATCTATAGTTCTTTTAATATGTCTAGATCACCTTCTTTGGACTGAAAGAAAACAAAGATGGAACTGAAACGATCATGAGTAACTGTGACTTACAGTTCCTTCTAGCATTTTCAGTAATGCCTGCTGAACACCTTCTCCAGATACATCTCTGCTAACATTTAGACTCTCAGCCTGCAATATGATCTTGTTGATAAATATCTATCCTACCAAAATTCACCTATGACTAACTAATAATCTTGATGACAATAAACCTTTTTAGCAATTTTATCAACTTCATCAATGTAGACAATGCCTTGTTGAGCTGCTTGCACATTAAAATCTGCTGCCTAGACATAAGAAAAAAAACGGAAAGATAAACATTTGAGCATAAGGTAATAAAGAAGAGCACAGCATCATAATGAGAATAAGACAGGAAAAAGGCAGTTAAATACTCAAACCACATCTAAAGAATTATTTCAATCTTAAAATTACATAATGACAGTGTGAACATTCAATTCTAGGGGACGATGCATTAGTTATCAAATGCAAGCTCAGGAAGAAGTATACAAGTATCAGTGGCAGGCTTATATGTATCTATGGTGAGAGAAATGAGCAAATGAAAAAAGAACTGAGAGCAATGTTGTGCTTAGAGGGAACTTTTCTTGATATACAAATCTGGTGCTTTTAGCTGTACCATGGAAAGGCAAATATCACTAAAGACATATATATTAACTGTTTCTCTTTAGTGGGAAAACAAACAAAATAAGGCTTCAGAGGGAACTGCAAGACAGAAAACCAGTAGGCTAACAAACCACGCTTCCATCTAATTGGTACTGACTGACACAATCAGGATTTATATAAACTCTTCTATTTTAATTTCCTCCTCTTGTTAGCATGAGGTTTTCATTGTGTCCCATATATATAGGGGCAATCTTCCCTGATCTTCTAGCATCTCCAAGCCCTACCAAAATATCTACTAGTATAATTGAAGAAAGAATTTATTAGCAAATTGTGACGTCTTTCCTACTCATGTTCATCAAACGATCAGGTAAAATCACGATCCTAAACATATAATGTCAGACAAGGAATGTCAAAATATATGAAAAAAAGAAACTAGTATTCACATTATGCAAATTAGAGAGCGGCACAGTAATAACCCTGCAAACCATTCAAAGAGTTGCTGAAAACTTGATAAGGAAAATACTAAATTTGGTTTCTTAATAAAACTTGTACATATTCTTCTTATCACCACCAGCTACCAATTGCATGATTGTCTAAGTGATACAAATTTGTTCATGCAAGAATGTTAAATGCAAAAAGAAAAACAATAAGCATCATGGATAAATATAACACCATTAGAGAGAACAGATGACAAAAATGTTAAAATCAGGCAACTTGATAAAATACTTGTGCATAAATAATCCAAAATCATACCGCTAGTAACTTGTACAATATTGATTCAACGTCTTCTCCAACATAACCTGCCTGCAGGACATTTAACCACCTTCAGTTTCTAGTAGAGTATATCCATGTCTTGTGAACAGGGCTGGGTGATTTATGCATGTTTTTATTCAGTAAAGTACAAAGTTATAAGTATAAAATGAACCTCAAAATTAAAGCCTGCTAGAGCTAGTAAATGAAATTAAACTAATGTCCATATGAATTATAGCCCAACTTCAAAGTTGAAAAAGTAAAGATCAAAAAGACAGCCACTGGCCACAAAGGTAAGCCAGTATTGCACTATTCTTGTGTGATTCGGATTAATTCATCTGAAGCCACTGAGAAGTCGAAATAGGTGAACCAAACAGCATAGCAGAAACTTGAATCCAAGATTTTTAGGATATAGTTTCATCAATTTACTTGTTTCGAATATATCTCTGATGCTTGTTAAAAAAAGGTCATTCCAAGCAAAAGATGGCTCATAACTCTTAGGGTGCGACAGGATGGAAATGTTGCAATTTGCTTACAATATGATGTACAGAAAGAATGACTACAAGTAAATGTGTAAGAAAACTCGATTTCAGTTTCTTTTTGTACAGTTGCATTTTGCAAGTCAATTAAATTTCATAAGTTGTCAGAACAGAACAAAGATACTGAACTTAAAAAATAGATCCCATTTAAAAATCAGAAACGAATACCAAGTGAGGGAAAAGCTAAATACTCTGCTGTAACAGTCAGTTAAAGCAATGTACCTACCTGTGTTAATGTTGTTGCATCAGCAATAACAAATGGTACATTAACAAACCGGGCCAATGTTTTTGCTAGTAAAGTTTTCCCTGCATTAAGACATTATGAAAATCAGAATTGGGATGTGATAGATGACTTCATATAGTCCCTGCCAAATGCAAACTCTATTAAGACCCAGAAAGATGTTATTTTACCTGAGCCAGTTGGGCCCATCAACAGTACATTGCTTTTTTCTAGCTCAACATCATCATATTCATCTTTTTCTGCCTTAACATTATCTGAATCAACCCCAGAACTGAAACATGGAAACAATGCATTCAGTTCAGGATATCCACTGAAAGTGTTACATAGTTTTCATGCCAATGAATAGTGCCTACAGAAGAAAAATAAAGAACATACACCATTGTGAAATATTAAGGTTAGATTTTTACTAACCCTTTCTTTGTAGATGAGTGAGAGATTCTTTTATAGTGGTTGTAGACAGCCACAGCTAGCACCTGCATTTGACTTTAAGAGGCTTCAAAATCAAATAAGCTAAAATATATAACCATAAAAAAAATCATCGAATATATAATTTGTAAAACAAAAAAAATGTAAAGTCTCATGATTAGGCTATAAATCAAGAAAAAGGGCTACCTTTTTGGCACGGTCCTGCCCAATTACAAACTTATCGAGTGCCTTACATATCTCCTTGGGAGTCGGCAGATCCTTCCCTAGATTGGACCCGCCCCATGCCTCCTTCTTACTTTCTCCACCACCACCAGCAGATCCTGCACCTCTGCTACTCCTTCCATGCCTCTTTGCTCGTGCTAATTCCAGATGAGCTTGGGACGGCGGTCCTGGTGGTTTGTGGACCGCTAGTTCATTCCCACCCGGAGGCGACGGCGGCACTGGAAGGCCCGGCATTGGTGGCCAATTCTCTGGAGGATCCCCACCGTACATCGACCGCAGCATATCCCAAAACGAGGCTTTAACCCGGTCACCAGTCTGCACCTCTCCGCCAGCAGCATCTCGATCGCGATCGCCCTCCTCCACCCCCGTCACTCTCCCTATCTCGACAAAGCTACCTTGCAGCGGCACGAGCCGATTCGGCAGGAAGTAGAAGGAGGACCGGCAGCTAGGGCAGAGGTTGAGAGCCTGGTACCCGCCGCCGCGTCGGCGCACGTCGCCGCCTCCGGCTGCGGTTGCGGCAGCCGACGGCGAAGGAGGCTGAGTGGCGAAGAGGACCTCCATGTGCTTGGAGCAGCGAGGACAATTAGCCTCGGCCCGGATCCGGCGAAGGTGGGTCGCATCGGTACCTCCTCCGGCGCCCGACCTGCGGCGCACCTGCCGCCGGAGGGAGGGGGAGGCGCCGCCGAGGAGATCGCAGGGAGGCCGGGAGCAGATCTGGCGGCAGAGGCGTTGGTGGTGGTGGCGGGTGGCGGAGGCAGCGACCGCCCTCAGCTTCCCTCGTATGAGAATTCCGGACATCTCGGCGAGAAAGGGATAGATGGCGAGGGACGGAAATCGATTTATTTATAGCTGGGATAGAATGTCACTTTTGAGGGACGTTGATGGATTGATGGGGGACGGAGAGCCGTCGGATGAGGAACGAGACGAGATGGGAGGGATGGAGACGAGGAGAAGGAACGGTCGTGAAACGGTAAACCGTCAAGTGGAGGAGGGGCGGTCGCGGATGCGGTCGCGCATCAATCTTGCATCGTCGACCATCCGGTTTACCAAATCAGGTACATGCCGATGCGCTTTAAGATTTGAGGTCGAGAGGATTAAGGTAGATGAAGCCATGGAGCCCGTTAAGAACAACAGCCTCGTCTCCTGAGTTCACATGTTCAGCTAATAATAAAGGTAACAAAAGTAATACCACCTCACATGTGGAGTTTGCATCTCACTACTGGAGTAACTTCGGGATCCAACATACTGTTGTTTATTACTTCCTAGAAGAAAATGGCATGTCAATCCTTCTGCAACAAACAAATATGACAATTGGCATTTGGAGTCTTGTAGCACCACCCTCCGTTCGATTCACGATAGGGGAGGCAGAGCAGCCACCAAAAAACCATGGATCAGCAGACAAGATAGAAGGTAGATGAGGGTGATGTAGAACCTGGTGAAATGATGGTTTGTTTGAGGCTGTAGAGACTTCATTACCTGAGGGGCCTCATTCCCTGCAAAAGAGTAATGTGTATCAGTTGCAACTAGGGCAAGAATAGAAACCTGGAGAATGCACCAGGGAAGCATCTTAATTATGTATGCTGGAGTGTTACAATCTCTCACTGTTTTACTTGCGTCACAAACTATATATGCCTAAAATGAAACAGAAAACAGAAGCCAGTCAATGATCTTTATAAGCAAATCACACTTCACAAAGAAAACCGACTAATTAAAGAGCTCCCAAAGTGATACAGTCAAGTATTTCTATAAGCAGATCCAATTTCATAAAGAAACCTTTTCATCAGGAAACTGCAAAACAGCATGTCAGCCTCAAACTTTCTTCATGAAGTTAGTTTGAACTGATTTCTCAATTAAGAATGAACTCATTTCTCAATCTAGAGTGAACTAACGCAGTTAAAATAAACATGGTAGAATATTCAACAAACAGAAGAAATATGTGAGCCAACATGGTGGTTTATAGAATTCACCGTCAGAAGAAAAATCCAATAATTGGACCTAATCTAATGGAGCATACACAATGCTAAAGCCAAAGCTTCACTTGGGTTAATTTACAACCCCTGAAGTTCTACCATTTATGAATTAAAGCTTTTATTTAAATAATAAATGGAAATGGTGTTTAGGTATTCTAAATTACTCCTCAAAAAATAAATGAAAACATTGATTAGGTGGACCAAATCACTCAAAAACATTTCAGGTGTGAAGCGGTAAATCACAGGTCTGATGTATGGGGCGCACAGACATAGGCCCCCATTCAACAGGTCCAGGAGAAATGACATCAGTATTGACAATTCTAAGGGGAGTCAACCAACTAGTTGGTCCAAGAAATGATAATCCAATAAGCACTTTCATGTCGCTGGCAGAACAATATAACATAGTCTCAAAGATGACAAATAAAATTTTGCATTTATGCTGCAAAGCACATTAATATTCACTTAAGATGCTTGATAGAATCAAACAGCCTGAACGATTCCCAGCATATTCAGATTACCTGTTCAAAATCACTGGCATCAAGTTCTCCTAGACATGCTTGTTAGGAAAGTTATTATGCATCATCCAGGCTCATTAATAAAAGGAAATTCAGATGAATGCTTCGTGTATACACTCCAGAAAAATTCAACTGTCAATCAGATGTTGCAAACGAGTGACAAGCAAGAAGCCAGCATTTTAGCAGCATAGACTGCACAAATTTGCCAGCCATGTGCTCACCTATGCCCTTAATTTTACATATAAGCACAGTACAGTCATACACCCATGTCATGTCAATTTACTGCATGGTGCAGTATAGCCAGCCAGCACTAAGAATACATCAATTAATTGATCCTATCTCAGCTGACACCTTAAGCTTTTAGATGGACTAGCAAGCATTATAAGTTTAATGCTTGAATGGATTGGTAAAACCAAGGTTCGCAATACCGTACCGTACCGATATTTTGACCTGGGCTCGATACCGGTACGGTACGGTATACCGAGCGGTACACCCAGGTGTACCGAGCGGTACACCTGAGTGTATCGAGTACTGTAGCACTATAGCAATGCTACAGTAACTGCTACAGTACCTCGGCCGGTAACCATCGGTCCGCGTACCGAAAACCTGTCGGACCGGTACGTACCGCCCGTACCAGGCTGTCATGGACAAACTTCTCAACAAGATGTTGGATGTAATGCTTATGTGTGTCCGTGTCTTTTGGCATGTTCATGCCTT